TGCCCTATGCCGCCATCTTGGTTCTTCTGTCTATATATAATGTTTTTATTGATTTCACAGAGAGGGAAAGGGAGAGATAGAAACATCAATGAGAGAATCATCCATCAGTTGCCTCCTGCACGCCCCCTGCTGGGGATCGAGCCTGCAATCCAGGCATGTGCCCTGACTGGGAATCAAACCATGACCTCCTGGTTCATGGGTCAATGCTCAACCACTGACCCATGCCGGCTGAGGTGTCCATTAATGTTTAGCAGTATTGCACCAGGGATTGGGCCCACGATAATCCTACCAGGGAAGGAAGAGCCACACCAGCGAGGGAAGCGGCGACACAGACCACAGGCCTCCGCTGCATTTCCTTTTCTCGGCGCCAAAGGCTATTTCACCGGGTTGGCACATGTAGTCCAGGCATGACTCCCGCCCACCCACCCCGACCCTCACCCCCCGGACCGGTTGCAGGTGGAGGTCTCTGATCCTCCTTACCTGTGGGGGTTCTTTCCTCCGACCTTTCCAGAGCCTCAGCGGGCGGGGGGTGGGGGTGGGGTATGGTGGTGGCAACAGCCTGGCATCCAGCCTGCCCTCCTCAGCACTCCTTGGCTTTGAGCACGGAGACGGAGGACCCTCAGGTACCTATCAGTTGAGGCATTTCCAATCAGTGGTCTAATCATCGCGTGAGACCATGTGGCCGGGTCTCACCGCTCTTGGTGGCAGTGACATGCGGGGACAGACGGCAGGAGCACAGGACAGAGGCGCCGTGACAGCACACGGCCCCAGGGCTCCCCACAGGGCTGGCGGCAGGAAGCCAGTTGCAGCTGCACCAATTGTCTTGGCTCCTCCCAGCCCAGCCCACAGCGAGGCCATTGGCCAGAAATGCTTGGAGACAGACACTCAGCCCACCCCCTCCCCGCCATCGACACTTCAGAACTAGCGTTGGGGCTGGACTGGCCCTTGTGGTTCATGTTATTGCAAGGTGCCCTCAGCACTAACATCAGGAAACTTTGAAGAAAAACACACCCACAAGGTTTATTGCTCAAAGGTTCTGGTGGGTACGCAGCAGGTCTGCAGCCACAAGGCGAGTTTGTGGGGAGAGAGATTGTGGCCCGGGGATCCTGCTGCTGTCAGGGTAGCGGCCTAGGGTTTTGAGAGCTCAGTCTTTATTGGTGAATTTTAAAATGAGCAGGAATAGCCCTGGCCGGTGTGGCTCAGTTGGTTTGGCATGGTCCCATGCACCAGGAGGTGGCAGGTTCAATACCTGCTCAGGACGCACACCCAGGCTTCGGTCTCCAGTAGGGGGCGTGGAGGAGGCGGGAGCACAGGAGCCTGGCTCTTGACTGAGTCAGTGGCTAGCTATGTGTTTATTCCAAATAGCGTTGGAAGTGGATGTCTCAAAACTTGTCAGTCACCTGTTTTACAACAAAATCCCCACCTGCCCGGTGTCTCGACTGCAGCTATCGTGTTCCTGGTTTCCAACGGAAACCTGTTGTGGTCAGAGAACACGCGGTATGATTCCAATCCGTACTCCCTTTAAGGCTTGTGTGGCCCGCACGTCTGTCCTGGTGAGTGTGCCGTGCGCTGGGAAGGAACGTGTCCCGGGCTGCTGGCCACCAGTTGGATGGAGGTGGCTAGCTGTGCTGTTCACGTGTTCTATCTGTATTGCATTTTCATCTAGTTCTGTCAGTGCCGAGGTGTTGGGATGTCCAGCTGTGCTTGTGGGACAAGGTCACCAATGTTAGCTAAGAGCTCGGAAGTGGGGGAGAGGGTCCCAGCCGCGTTCCACATCCAGCCACAGCAGGATGAGCGATGGCCTTTCCTTTTCAACAGTAGCAGAGCGTAAAGCAGGGGAGTCGGAAGACTTAAGACACCAGAGTGCATTGAACTTTGGCCGCAGGACTTGACAGGAGTCAGGTAACCAGGCAGGCCAGGGGGTGGACAGGCTCCCAGGCAGGCCAGGGGGTGGACAGGCTCTCGAGCACAGGAGGGGAGGCCAGGGCTTGGCTGGCCACTCAGCCGAAGGAGAGGACACTGCAGCCGGGGGAGCCAGTGGGACAGGAGCCAGCATGGGTGGCTGGGGCCTAACCATCAGCTGCATCTCACCGAGTCCCCCACACTGAGGGCCCAGCGTCTCACGTTTTCTCGTCCTTGGAAACTTTGTGCCTCTTGCCTAGAATGTCATTCGTCACCTTATTCCCCTTATGACTGACTAGTCCTCAGAATCACCAAGATTTATTCACATGAGAGTTATATCAAGTAGACAATCCCCAACTTTAGATTTAAAAAACACATGAAAAAGCAAGTATGTCAGCCCTTCGGTTATGAGATACCTATGGAAATAAAAGTCTCCAAAAGGGAAGTATCAGTGGGTAAGAACAGGTCCCGGAGTCGGGCGCAGTGGGTGTGGCGTTGGGGTCAGACAGGTCCAGGCCCGAGTCTGGAAACACCTGTGAACTGGGTCATCTTGTGCAAAGGGCACTGCCTCCTGGCCTCTGGCCTCCCGGTTTACTGAGGGGATAAAAGAAACACAGCCGTAGGGTCAGATACAGGCTCTGTCTTTAGAAGACCTTTCATCTAAAACCACTTTGGGTTATGATGACACTTAAACAACAGTTAGAGGTTCCGATCTGAACGTCCAGGCCCGGGAGCGAAGAGCTCAGAGAGGAGTCACCCCTGTGATTGCCGTGGCTGCTGTAGGGTGGGTGTGTGTTCACAGAGCGTTTGGACTTCGTAACTCTCGCCGAGTGAGCTTGTAGTCAGATACATGCTTTTGTTAAGAAAGAGCTCTAGTGTACAACACAGCCACACAGCTAGAGCTTGCCTTACGTGATGCTGTTAACTCATGTTAGTAACATGTCCACTTTAATGGGTTATGTGTGGCTTTGGTATGAGGGTGAATTTAGGGACTAAGGAATGCATGATGGATTTTCCAATTCTATTTCCGACTTACGAGAGCCTTGTTCTCCGGGGCCATCAAGTCATATACAAACACACACACACAAGGTTCTTAGGTGTTTATTTTAGAAAATCTGATGGATACTCTCCCCTCCGCTGCCCTCGTGTGACCTGGAGGAGCTGCTTTCTGTAGAATGCCATCAACCATGATCCGTTCTCGCCACAATTCAATCATTCCCACTGGGGGGTCATTTACACTGTTTCCTTTTTCCTTACCAAAACACACAATATGTACTGACAAACATAATCTCAAGTCCTGGCACTTTAGTTTTTTCTCAGGGATAGGTTCCCAAACATGAGTGCTGGGTGGAGGAGAATGTATATTCTTAAAGGACAGAGCCACAATGATTCCCAAGGAGGCCCTCACAGTTTACTCTCACGGCAGAGCATGAAATTACCCTTCTCTGCTTCCTGGCTGCCAGTAGATCAGCTGACAACTTAAAAGACTTATTGGACTATGGCTGTTTCAGTAAATTTGTGCAGTCACTCACATTCAGAGTCATAGCACATCAATGGTCTTCAAAAAAAACTTTAAGCCAGTTTCAGTTGTCATTTACAATTCTAATGCATGATGTGTGATGGGGGAAAGGGAGGAATATGTGAATCTGAAATCAAGCCTCAGATGACATATCTCTGAGTTACACAATAGATGGAGAGATTACCGAACAGTATAACTTACAAAGCTGTTTGTGAACCTTTCGTGGAAAGGCATAACTTACACTGAGCCATGATCGTGAAACTCAAGGAAGTAGAAGTACATCCCCTGAACAGAGCAGCAAAAGTGTCTCTGAAATGGACTGTGCACATAGGAAATTTAAAAAGCAACGAGGCATGTGACAGTTTTCTTAAAATAAGACTCCTTTTAAAGTCTCTGAAAGGTAACTAACATTTGTGTACTGCATACACATCCTACCATTTTTCACAAGACAATTCATAAAATATTAAGAGGAACAGGGAAACACAAAAGACAAGTGGTTTCTGGGTTACACAACATTTGGTAACTGACATGCATTTGTGTGTGAACAGCCAGGAGAGAAACCCCAGCATGTTGGGTATGGATCTTCTCTGTGGCTCATTTTTACCTGCGGTGCAGCCTGAGGAACAGCCCACAGCTGCCTCCTCACTCTTAACCTCTTCTTAATTATCTTACGTTTGCATAATCATGTAAGTGATGCTTGTAGAAATGCTTCATTGAGCCCAGAAGCAGGTTAAAACTTCACTGTCTTCTGTTTATTAAGAGGCAGCTCCGCCGAAACCGGTTTGCGGACTGAAAGGTCCAGGTTCTATTACGATCAAGGGCATGTACATTGGTTGCAGGCACATCCCCAGTAGGGGGTGTGCAAGAGGCAGCTGGTCGATGTTTCTCTCTCATCAATGTTTCTAGCTCTCTATCCCTCTCTGTAAAAAAATCAATAAAATATATATATATATATTTTTTTAAAAGAGGCAGCTCATTAACAATGGCCACACCAACTTCCATTTGCCAGCAAGCAGAACATGTGTTACATGCCTCTTAAAATCTGTTCCCTATTTCATCTGGAATGCATACTGAGTTGTAAAAACAAACAAACAAAAAAAAACACACGTGATATTTAGTATGGAAAATCTTGTTTGATATGTCCTAATTATTAGAAAAATTTCGAACTCCCAGTGACTGTTAAAATTCATACGGGCAGATCTAAAATATACTCTTGTGGTTTTGTGGCATAATCACACACAATCACTCTATCCTTAGGTACTGTCTGTATATCCTTTCTGCTGTTTCCCAGACAATTTCATCCTTAAATTCATTCAAGGTTTAAATCATTCATTCAAGGTTCTAAAAATCTCACTGTGACACAGTTAAGCATGTCTATTTACAGTGGGATATTCTTGGTCTGTGTTCTTCAGTTGGGCCTCATATCTAACCTTCGGTACCGCTGTCTGCAGGGGACCCTAATTTGGCGTTTTTGAGCTGATGGATGGTCTCTCGGTATGAATTCCCACGCTCCCTGGGGACCTCAGGAGGGTTCTACCCCACCGAAGGGCAGGTTTTGCACGGTCCGACCTGCTGCAGGTCAGGGTTTGTCCTCTATGTGAACTCGGAGGTGGACGCTGAGCCGGGACTTCCTGCTGAAGGCCTTCCCGCACTGAGAACACTCGTAGGGCTTCTCCCCCGTGTGGATCCGCAGGTGTAGCCTGAGAGTTGACCGCTGGCTGAACGTTTTGCCGCATTCCGTACACTCATAGGGCTTCTCCCCCGTGTGCGTTCTCATGTGTATGATGAGCTGTGAGTTCTGGATAAAGGATTTCCCGCACTCGCTGCACTCGTAGCGCTTCTCCCCCGTGTGAATTTTCTGATGTATAATGAGGTTTGATTTCTTGAAAAAGGTTTTTGCACATTCATTACACTCGTAGGGTCGCTCCCCCGTGTGAATTCTCTGGTGTGTCGTGAGTTCGAACTTCTGGGCAAAGGTCTTGCCACACTCGCCGCACTCATAGGGCTTCTTCTCCATGTGTGCCCGCTGGTGTACAATGAGGTTGGACTGGTGGGTGAAGGCTTTCCCACACTCGAGACATTCGAAGGGTTTCTCCCCGGTATGGATTCTCTGATGCTTGATGAGGTTTGCCTTGTGGGAGAAGGTTTTCTTACAGACATTGCACTCATACGGTTTTTCTCCAGTATGTATTCTCTTATGACTGATGAGGAGTGACTTAAAGGAGAAAGCCTTGTCGCAGTAATTACAAAGGAAGGGTTGTACCAAATTTCTAATTTTCTGATGTTTAAAAATGGCTTCTTTATGGCTGAAAGCTTTCCCAATTTTGTTATATTCTGCATATTCCATTTCAGGATGGGTTTTCTCTTGCTTCAGATAGAGAAGGGCTTTTCCAAACTCGTCATACTCATCAGCCTGCTTCCTGATATAGCTGTTACCGTTAAGTAAGTCCGAACTGTATTTCAGAGTTTTTTCATATAAGTCATATTTATAGGGCACTTGTCTTAGAGAAACAAAGTCTGCGCTCAGGCTGAGTGGTTTTTCAAAGAGATCACTTCTTTCCTCGACGGGGGTGTGGTTCTGGCAGATTATGAACGGCCTCGCCTGCTCCTCGGGGTCACCGAGCTCCCTCTGCGCCTGGTCGTCGGCCTTCCACACCTCTGGGAGAGAGCACAGGGAGGACACGCCGTCAGGCCTCCGCGTACGTCACAGAACGTCCCACAACGTCCCTCCCAGGGCCGCCTTTCAGTCCGGGGCCCAGTTTTCCAGAATTGCGTCCCCCAGTGCAAATTTGTCCTTGTTCTTCAACTTTGAAAGAAAAGGGGGGGAGGGAAGAGCCCGTGGCAGCAATAAAGGAAGTAGAAACTGACAGTGCACACAGGTAGCATTGCCAGATCGCACAGTGACCTACGGAGGGGTAACGTGAAATAAAGCCGCGGGGCAGCAATAGGAAGTGCACCGTGCGGGAAGGCTGGCAACGCAGGGGCGAAGGACTGTCCTCGGGGACGCTGCACAGTTAGCGCAGAGGCAGGCAAGATGGTAAAGGAGAGGACACAGGCAGACCCGAGTCCCTGCCTCTGCATCCCTGTGGCTGGGCCAGCACCTCGTCTATGTGCGCCCAGGCTCTCTCCCCGCCTCCTCCCTTCCTACCGGCAGTATTTCTGTTTGGCAGAAACAATCGTATTAAAGAGCAGCGAGCCCCGCCGCTGTGCTGCAGCACACTGATGTGCCACAAGAAGTTAAAACATGCAAACCTGACTAGTCAGGGCACTGACCACGTTTCCCTTAGATTGTCCAATTTAAAAATGACACCAGCCAACACAATCGCTGTCTGGTGTGAATGAATCAAAGGTGTGCTGCAGAATTTTCTAAATTGACTGATGTGCGCCATGAGATGAAAAGGTTGAAAATAGCTGCTTTAAAGGAAGACTTTGCAAGTGAATGAAAAGGCCCAGAAACTCATTTTCTGTAGGAAATAGAAAATTGATGCAAGGACCCAAGATCCCTTTAATAGATTCAATTCTACTGCTGCTTTCATTGTGTTTTTTAAATTCAATTTAATTTAATCTTCACCCGAGGATGTTTTCCATTGATTTTTAGGGAGAGTGGAAAGAAGGAGACACAGAGGGAATATAGATATGAGAGAGACGTATTGATTGGTTGCATCCCACATACCCCCAACCAGGGCCAGGAGCTTGCGACTGAGGTATGTGCCCTTGAACAGAATCGAACCTGGGACCCTTCAGTCCACAGGTTGACGCTCTATCCCCTGAGCCAATCTGGCGAGGGCTCATTTTTTTTTCTATTGAAGCTGTTGGAGACAGAATGTATTTTCATTGTTATATCATATCTTTCTCTCTCCTTCTAATATGCTTAACTTCTTCCCCAAACCAGTCTTGTCCCTACTTTTATTTGAAGGGATATTAAGGACCAGACTATCCCGCCCCCACCTCGGTCTTACATAACCTTCACCTGCCTCTGGCCATCACTGGGCATGTGATGCCGCCGCCATCTGTGTGCAGACGGGACGTCCCTCCTGGACTGAGATCTATTTCCGAGGCCACCATGCCAACGGCCTGAGCTAAATACACGGTACTCACACAGCTGGGGCACGGTACTCAGACATCTGGGGCACAGTACTCACCTATAGGCAGCCGTCTCTAAAGGTTCAGGGATTTTTTTGGGAAAAAGTCTTAATATTTGAAAGTACCAACTCATAATCCTTGGGATATTACTTCTAGTGGCTTCTGATTCTCCCTCCACAGCTTCCCTGAGAGTTCTCAACTGCAGTTCTGACTTTGCCAGCACAGCTCCAGCTGCTCCACCTCAAAAACCACATCTGCGTGGGTTTTAGAACTTAGTCTTCACGCTCAGCTGTAACAAGGGAAGCCTGAGGCCAAAGCACCTAGGAACTGAGCAGCTCATTCCGCCCGGTGCCTGGGTGAGCGCGCCGCCGGGCGCCGGCCTTACCCACAGACAGCAGGTGGCTGTAGTTCTCCAGCATCACGTCCATGTACAGGACCCGCTGCGCCGGGGCCAGCCGCTCCCACTCCTCCTGGGTGAAGTCCACGGTCACGTCCGTGAATGACACTGGCCCCTGAAACGGCACATTGCTATTCGCTCTGCCATGACGAGCTCTTGGGGGTACAGGAGGACACAGGCAGTTATTCTCACCACACCCTTGTACGAGTCATTCCCAGGGAAACTCACACACACCGACCATGCACCTTCACTACGTTTGTCAGAATTGTGTTTCCAGTGGTCCGAGTGTGTGTTCGTTCTTTCCTTCCTCTCTAATCGCTCCGTGCTGTCTCCGGCACTGGCACAGGCACAGGCATCTCGAAACCCCACGCCTCTGAACGGCAATACGCAGCAGAGAATGGCACCAATGTGGGGGTGATGCTCACACGCACTGTTCTTGTATCAAACTAGACAACAGCGAATTAGACTTTCTGTGACACTGTGATCTATAAGAAACACATCTGGTGTTTGTCCACAGTTCCTGCTCACATCTCCCCAAACCCCTAGGTTAACCTACGAATTGAGACTGATAAGGTTCGTTACTCTAACGAGGTGACTTCTGGACATCAGGATGGGGGCAGGTCACCATCAGACCAGAGGGGACGGAGAGGGCTGGAGGGTGCCAAATGCACGGGAAATGAGGTTACCCATCCCGTTATGTAACAGCGGCAGCACAGGAATCGGAGGACAGGAGTCCCACAACCATCGGGACTACAGCACAGGAAAAGCCAAGAGGGGCAGCCGGGGAGAGCCCCGGAGCTCGGCAAGTACCTCCCTCCTCTGAGGCCTCCGGGGCCACTGCCTCTTCCCCGACCTCCTTCATGCCCCGCCCGCCCGCCTCTCACTCCTCTCCGCCTGCAGGGCACAGGCTCTCCTCTGTCCCTCTGTCCCTCTGTCCAGTCTCCTCGCTGTCCTGTACGTCCGCTCTGCCACCATCAGAGATCTCCACACCTCCCCACTCCCTTCTCTCCGCCCCAATCGCTCCGTCACCACCTGCTTTTCTCACCCTGCCTCCCTGCCCTAACCTTTCCCAATCCTCCCTGCCAACCACTCAGATCACCTTCCTCACTCTCTCTGCAGACTCTCTCTCTGCTCTCTCTGACGCCTCTCTGGTCTCTCCTTCCTCCTCTCCCACGCCTCTCTCTAATAATGTCCCCTTACTGGGACTCACCTCTCCTACTCACTCTCTCCAGTCTCTCCGTCCTCTCTCTAGTCCATCTGCTGCTCTCTCTAGTCTCTCATAAGTTTCTCTGACGAACCCTCGCTCTAGTCTCACCAAACTCCCTCTCCCTCCACTCTCTATCCTCTTTCTAGCCTCTCCTGATTTCTCTCTTCCACTCCTTGCTCTACAAACTAGGATGGCTTTTTCTAGTCTCTGCTTTAGCTCTCACCCTAGTCTCTCTGACCTCTCCCTCTACACTCTCCGTTCGCTCTCTCACTCTACACTCTCCGTCCACTCTCCCTGTACCCTATCCTTCATCTGACACTCCAGACTCTGTTCCGCTCTCTCGCTCTACACTCTGCATCCACTCTCTCGCTCTAGACTCTCCTTCTGCTCTCTCGCTCTAGACCCTCCTTCTGCGCTGTCGCTCTAGACCCTCCTTCCGCTCTCTCGCTCTAGACCCTCCTTCCGCTCTCTCGCTCTAGACCCCCCTTCCGCTCTCTCGCTCTAGACTCTCCTTCCGCTCTCTAGACCATCCTTCCGCTCTCTCGCTCTAGACCCTCCTTCCGCTCTCTCGCTCTAGACTCCCCTTCCACTCTCTCGCTCTAGACTCTCTGTTCGCTCTATCACTCTACACTTTCCGTCCACTCTCCCGGTACCCTATCCTTCATTTGACACTCCAGACTCTCCGCTCTCTCGCTCTACACTCTGAATCCACTCTCTCGCTCTAGACTCTCCTTCCGCTCTCTCGCTCTAGACTCTCCTTCCGCTCTCTAGACTCTCCTTCCGCTCTCTCCCTCTAGACTCTCCTTCCGCTCTCTCGCTCTAGACTCTCCTGCTCTCTAGACTCTCCTTCCGCTCTCTCGCTCTAGACTCTCCTTCCGCTCTCTCGCTCTAGACTCTCCTGCTCTCTAGACTCTCCTTCGGCTCTCTCGCTCTAGACTCTCCTTCCGCTCTCTCCCTCTAGACTCCCCTTCCGCTCTCTCGCTCTAGACTCCCCTTCCGCTCTCTCCCTCTAGACTCCCCTTCCGCTCTCTCCCTCTAGACTCCCCTTCCGCTCTCTCGCTCTAGACTCCCCTTCCGCTCTCTCCCTCTAGACTCCCCTTCCGCTCTCTCGCTCTAGACTCCCCTTCCGCTCTCTCGCTCTAGACTCCCCTTCCGCTCTCTCGCTCTAGACTCCCCTTCCGCTCTCTCGCTCTAGACTCCCCTTCCGCTCTCTCGCTCTAGACTCCCCTTCCGCTCTCTCGCTCTAGACTCCCCTTCCGCTCTCTCGCTCTAGACTCCCCTTCCGCTCTCTCGCTCTAGACTCCCCTTCCGCTCTCTCGCTCTAGACTCCCCTTCCGCTCTCTCGCTCTAGACTCCCCTTCCGCTCTCTCGCTCTAGACTCCCCTTCCGCTCTCTCGCTCTAGACTCCCCTTCCGCTCTCTCGCTCTAGACTCCCCTTCCGCTCTCTCGCTCTAGACTCCCCTTCCGCTCTCTCGCTCTAGACTCCCCTTCCGCTCTCTCACTCTAGACTCCCCTTCCGCTCTCTCACTCTAGACCCTCCTTCCGCTCTCTACTCTCCTTCCGCTCTCTCGCTCCTGTCTCTCCTTCCGCTCTCTCGCTCTACTCTCTCCATCCGCTCTTTCCATCTGCTCTCGCTCTAGACTCTCCTTCCGCTGTCTAGACTCCCCTTCTGCTCTCTCGCTCTAGACCCCCCTTCCGCTCTCTCGCTCTTGACCCCCCTTCCGCTCTCTCGCTCTTGACCCCCCTTCCGCTCTCTCGCTCTTGACTCCCCTTCCGCTCTCTCGCTCTAGACCCTCCTTCCGCTCTCTCGCTCTAGACCCTCCTTCCGCTCTCTAGACCCTCCTTCCGCTCTCTCGCTCTCGACCCCCCTTCCGCTCTCTCGCTCTAGACCCTCCTTCCGCTCTCTAGACTCTCCTTCCGCTCTCTCGCTCTACTCTCTCCATCCGCTCTTTCCATCTGCTCTCGCTCTAGACTCTCCTTCCGCTGACTAGACTCCCCTTCCGCGCTCTCGCTCTTGACTCCCCTTCCGCTCTCTCGCTCTAGATCCTCCTTCCGCTCTCCCGCTCTAGACTCCCCTTCCGCTCTCCCGCTCTAGACCCCCCTTCCGCTCTCTCGCTCTAGACCCTCCTTCCGCTCTCTAGACCCTCCTTCCGCTCTCTCGCTCTTGACTCCCCTTCCGCTCTCTCGCTCTAGACTCCCCTTCCGCTCTCCCGCTCTAGACCCCCCTTCCGCTCTCTCGCTCTAGACCCTCCTTCCGCTCTCTAGACCCTCCTTCCGCTCTCTCGCTCTTGACTCCCCTTCCGCTCTCTCGCTCTTGACTCCCCTTCCGCTCTCTCGCTCTTGACTCCCCTTCCGCTCTCTCGCTCTTGACTCCCCTTCCGCTCTCTCGCTCTTGACTCCCCTTCCGCTCTCTCGCTCTTGACTCCCCTTCCGCTCTCTCGCTCTAGACTCCCCTTCCGCTCTCTCGCTCTAGACTCCCCTTCCGCTCTCTCGCTCTAGACTCCCCTTCCGCTCTCTCGCTCTAGACTCCCCTTCCGCTCTCTCGCTCTAGACTCCCCTTCCGCTCTCTCGCTCTAGACTCCCCTTCCGCTCTCTCGCTCTAGACTCCCCTTCCGCTCTCTCGCTCTAGACTCCCCTTCCGCTCTCTCGCTCTAGACTCCCCTTCCGCTCTCTCGCTCTAGACTCCCCTTCCGCTCTCTCACTCTAGACCCTCCTTCCGCTCTCTACTCTCCTTCCGCTCTCTCGCTCCTGTCTCTCCTTCCGCTCTCTCGCTCTACTCTCTCCATCCGCTCTTTCCATCTGCTCTCGCTCTAGACTCTCCTTCCGCTGTCTAGACTCCCCTTCTGCTCTCTCGCTCTAGACCCCCCTTCCGCTCTCTCGCTCTTGACCCCCCTTCCGCTCTCTCGCTCTTGACCCCCCTTCCGCTCTCTCGCTCTTGACTCCCCTTCCGCTCTCTCGCTCTAGACCCTCCTTCCGCTCTCTCGCTCTAGACCCTCCTTCCGCTCTCTAGACCCTCCTTCCGCTCTCTCGCTCTCGACCCCCCTTCCGCTCTCTCGCTCTAGACCCTCCTTCCGCTCTCTAGACTCTCCTTCCGCTCTCTCGCTCTACTCTCTCCATCCGCTCTTTCCATCTGCTCTCGCTCTAGACTCTCCTTCCGCTGACTAGACTCCCCTTCCGCGCTCTCGCTCTTGACTCCCCTTCCGCTCTCTCGCTCTAGATCCTCCTTCCGCTCTCCCGCTCTAGACTCCCCTTCCGCTCTCCCGCTCTAGACCCCCCTTCCGCTCTCTCGCTCTAGACCCTCCTTCCGCTCTCTAGACCCTCCTTCCGCTCTCTCGCTCTTGACTCCCCTTCCGCTCTCTCGCTCTTGACTCCCCTTCCGCTCTCTCGCTCTTGACTCCCCTTCCGCTCTCTCGCTCTTGACTCCCCTTCCGCTCTCTCGCTCTTGACTCCCCTTCCGCTCTCTCGCTCTTGACTCCCCTTCCGCTCTCTCGCTCTTGACTCCCCTTCCGCTCTCCCGCTCTAGACTCCCCTTCCGCTCTCTCGCTCTAGACCCCCTTCCGCGCTCTCGCTCTAGACCCCCTTCCGCGCTCTCGCTCTAGACCCCCCTTCCGCGCTCTCGCTCTAGACCCCCCTTCCGCGCTCTCGCTCTAGACCCCCCCTCCGCTCTCTCGCTCTAGACCCCCCTTCCGCGCTCTCGCTCTAGACCCCCCTTCCGCGCTCTCGCTCTAGACTCTGCTTCCGCTCTCTCGCTCTTGACCCTCCTTCCGCTCTCTCGCTCTTGACTCCCCTTCCGCTCTCTCGCTCTTGACTCCCCTTCCGCTCTCTCGCTCTTGACTCCCCTTCCGCTCTCTCGCTCTTGACCCCCCTTCCGCTCTTGACCCCCCTTCCGCTCTCTCGACCCTCCTTCC